AAGCCAAAATTGACAAATGGATCTCATTACAACTAAAGAGCTTGCACATCAAAGAACTAGCCTCAGGAGTGAACAGGGCAACTACGAATGGAGGGAAATTTTGCCAAAGTCTATTCTGACAAAGGGGCTAATCCAGGAACCTACAAGGAACTAAACAATTTACAGAAAAAACACAACCCATCAAAGTGGGCAAAGGATATGAACAGACATTTCTCAAAAGAAGACATTCATACAGCCAAGACACAGTGGAACAAATGTTCTTTCAGACTGGCCATCAGGAGAATGCCATCAAACGCACAATTCTGATACCTTCCCACCAGTTGAGGCGGATCATTCAACAAGTCAGGGGAACAACCAGGTGCTTGGAGGGATTGTGGGAATGGCACACTTTTACACTGTGGTGGGATTGTACTAGTTCACCATTATGGAAACAGCTATGGGCGATTCCTCAAGGATTCTTTCTTTCTTTCTTTCTTTCTTTTTCTTTCTTTCTTGACAGAGTCTCACTCTGTCACTCACGCTGGAGTGCAGTGGCATGATCTCTGCTCCCTGCAACCTCTACCTCCTTGGTTCAAGCCATTCTCATGCCTCAGCCTCCAGAGTAGCTGAGACTACAGATGTGTGCCTCCACACCCAGCTAGTTTTTCCTTGGTATTTTTAGTAGAGACAGGGTTTTGCTGTGTTGGCCAGGCTGGTCTCGAACTTTTGACCTTAGGGGATCTGCTCACTTTGGCTTCCCGAAGTACTGGGATTACAGGCAAGAGCCACAATGCCCGGCCCGAAGTTAATACTTTAGTGCTTCGAACAGATCATTTTGGTTGTAGTGTGGAGAATTAATTGGAGGAAAACAAGAGTAGGTGAGGGTAGAGTAATTACTGGGCTTTACTAGTCCAGGCAAACATTAAGGTAGTTGGGATGGAGTGGGGACAATAAAGGTGGAAAGAAATAGACAGATCTGAGCATATTTAGGGCATCTAATTGACAGGACCTTGTGACTGATTGGATATGGAAGGCAAGGGAGAAGGAGGAATTTGAAATGACTCCTAAGTGTCTGCTATCCTTAGGAGAATGGATGATGACATAGTTTACTGAATTGGAGACTCTGGAAGATCAGGTATAGAGCAGAGGGTATCAGTTAAAGTTCTTTATGATCCAAATGATAGAAAACCTAACATGAATTAGCTTGCACAGAAAGGAAATTAGTTGACTAAACTGGAAAAAAGGTTATATTGGCATTAGGTATGGCGTGAGGTCGAACAATATGACAAGAATCAGTCTCTTGGCTCTGCTTCCCTTGGGTACTTTTGGCCACTTATGGAAACAAGATGATCATATACTCTACTCAGTCCACCAAGTACAGAGAAAGGGCCAAGTCTTCTCTTTCTAGGAGCCCCAGCTAAGGCATCACTGTGACTTGCTTGGTTTGATTGGATTATATACTTACAGTCCAAGAGTCACCCTGGCCAGAGTAGTAGATGAGAGTGGAGGAACCTCATAGGGACCGGCTTGGCCAAGAGTTGGAGGAATAAAGTCCTTAAAGGAAATTAGGATACTGCTGCTGTAAGAAACAGGGAAATTGATGCTAGGAAGGTGTATTAGTCTTTTCTCACATGGCTATGAAGAAATTCCTAAGACTGGGTACTTTCTAAAGAAAATAGGTTTAATTGGCCCATGGTTCTGCAGGCTGTACAGGAAGCGAACACTTTCTGCTTCTGGGGAGGCCTCAGGAAATTTACAATCATGATGCAAGGTGAAGGGGAAATAGGGATGTCTTACACAGCCAGAGCGGGAGCAAGAGGTGAGGGGAGGTTCCACCCACTTTCAAACAACCAGGTCTTGTGATAACTCATTTACTATCAAGAAAACAGCACCAGTACAGAAATCTGTCCCCATGATCCAATCACCTCCCCCCGGCCCCACCTGCCACATTGGGGATTACAACTTGACATGGGATTTAGGCAGGGACACAGATCTAAACCCTATCGGAAGGTAACCCCAAGTTCTCATTGCTAGCAAGAAAGTTCCTTAGTTGTGTTTTGAACATGATGTATTTGAGGTACCTTTAAGATATTCAAAAGATGGTGGACACTTGTGTTTAATCTCACTGGTGAGTTCTGGGCTGGAAATACACTTTGGGTGTGATTTGCATAAAGGTAGTAGTTGAAACCGATGGAATGAAGGAAATCAACTAGGGAGAGGAATATACACTGAAAAGATGAAAGAACCAAGGAAAAAGTGTTGAGGAATTCCAATATTGAATTGAAGTTGAATTCTCCATTACTTGAATTTTCAGGTAGCCAGAGAGGTAGGAAGAAATCCAGGAGGACTCATTTAACAGACACAGTAGCTGCCTTCTTGGAATTTATAGACTAATAACCAGACTTGAAATAAAAAAACAGTAATATAAACAATTATAACATCATAAGTTAAGGTTGTGTTAGAGGTATGAACTCCCAGAGCATCCCACAGAAGCACAGAGAAGAGGCTGACTAATTGTTCCCGGGGGAGAGAAAAGCATCGTGTGGGAAGTCTTGAAAGATGACTGAAATTTTGTCAGTTGGAGAAGAAAAAGCTGCAGATCCAAGTTGAACTTATATAGGAGACTCACGAAGGATTTGAGTCAGATCTATGAGAACTTTAGGAAACAGGCCAGGATGAATGTTGGCTAAGGGGGAAAAGCTGGAGTTATCACATAGGTCACCTTTGTGGATGGCTGTTTATCTTAGGGCTTGACTATGTCACTCCATCATTTCAAAAGCCATCTTGAGACTGGGCACAGTGGCTCATGTCTGTAATCCCAGCACTTTGGGAGGCCAAGGTGGGTGGATCACCTGAGGTCAGGAGTTCAAGACCAGCCTGGCCAACATGGCGAAACCCCGTCTCTACTAACAGTACAAAAATTAGCTGGGCATGGTGGTGGACATCTGTAATCCCAGCTACCTGGAGGCTGAGGCAGGGGAAATCACTTGAACCTAGGAGGTGGAGGTTGCAGTGAGCTGAGATCATGTCAGACTCTGTCTCAAAACAAAAGGAAAACAAAACAAAAACAAACAAAAAAAAGCCATCTTGAAGTTACTGTTTTATCCTAGATTTGTGTTTATCTTGGATTGGCTGATTGGCTGAAATATTGATGGGCATTTTTGGCATTAGAAAGATAGAGTAAATTTAAAAGGTTTCTATACGGCGAATATTGACTAGTTATTTTCTGTTACTGCCAAAAGGAAGACAAGAAGAAATATGATTACATTTCAACAAAGATATTTTAAGATAAACATTAAGAGGAGTTTTCTTATCAGCAACATTTATTTTACTTGTCTGTATCAGCCTTCGAATTTATAGGCTTAGACAGACAGTGGTAATAGCAGTCAAAGATAGAAAGGTTATACAGTAAACAAGCAAACAAACAAAAACAGGAATAAATAAAGTCAATAAGCTTATTGGGAATGGGTGAATTGAGGAAATCACATCTGAGGTAATTACCATAACATTTCCAACCAGCTAGGAACAAGTTTCTGGAATTTATGACTTAGGGACCTGATTTGACAGAGAGTTTGGGTAGACGCACACATTCCAGGCATTCCTGGCAAAGGGTAGCTGTGATAGGCAGAATAATGGTTCCCAAAGTTGTCCACATCCTAATCCTGGGAAGCTGTGAGTGTGTTAGGCTATATGACAAAGAAGAATTA